TAATACTGCTATTAAAGAAATTAAGCCTAGGAGGTTGTGAATTGACTAATTTTTGGATTAAGTATTTACACAATGGTGGATAAGGCCTAATAATTGACAACTGGTATATATCTGGGGATGAACAGAACAGCAATTAAGTCACACAAAAAAGAAAGAGAAAAAAAGAAAAGAATAAAAAAACTAAAAGGTCAAAAGTGATTTAAAAGAAAAGCACACAACTCATGTACACCTAAAATAAAAATTATGAGGGAAAAAGATTAATAGAAAACAATTTTTTTAAAAAATTAAAATTAAAAAATGTACAAAAAAGGGCTGGGAAGGTGGCTCAGTGGTAGAGCACTTGCCTTGCATGCCTGAGGCCCTGAGTTCGAATCCTCAGCACCACATAAGCAAAAAGAAAAAAGCCGGAAGTGGTGCTGTGGCTCAAGTGGTAGAGTGCTAGCCTTGAGCTGAAGAGCTGAGGGACAGCGCCCAGGCCCAGAGTTCAGGCCCCACGACCGGACCCAAAAAAAAAAAAAATGTACAAAAAAGTTGATTTTTTTTTGCGGGGCGGGGGGGAGGGGGGGAGACAGGGTAGGGAGGGCGGGAATGGGAAGGTCCTGTATCTCATTTGTGTCCATAACCAGTCTCTTGGTGGAGTCTCTGGTCTACTTGTGGTGTTTGGTTTTCCTGTGGCTTGATTGTTTTGTTGTCTGTTTGAGCAGGCAGAAAAATGCTCTGTGTTACCCAGGATTTACCCAGGTTCCTCCTCCCAGGCTAGTTCAGTGGTAGGGAGATCTGCTTTGAGTATCACAAAAGAGGGAGATGGCTGTTTCTTCTAGTTTGGAGATGCTGTGATGAGGCTAGGTTCTGGGTAGGGTTGAGGCCTTTCAGCAAACAGTAGCTTTTCCCTGAAGGGCTAGCTTCTGAGATACTCACAGAGCCCAGCCAGGAGCCTTTCTGATGTCTGATGCCTTTTTCCCGGACTTTCTCTGTAGGTATTGCGGCTACAGCCTCCGCTGCTGCTGCAGTTGCTGTGGCTACTGGCATGTGCTCAGCTCTGTCACCTTGCCTAGATTTTCCCTCTCTGGCCAAACTCTCTGTACAGTAATGGCACACTTGGTGTGATTCTCTAGCCTAGGACTGTCCACTGGAACACTAAAACCGCTTTCTATCTGAGAGTTTGTTTATCCTCCTGCTTCTCCTCTGCCTTCTTTCTCAGAATATCCGTGATAATTTTATATGTGCACACAAATTCTTTTGATCTGATGTGCCTTTATCCATTACTTTTATTTCCTCTGAAAATTTAAATTATCCTATCACCGTGTGGTAATTTATTTCATTCATGCATGTAAAATTCCTCATGTTTTTATAGAATATATGTAAACCTTTTGAAATAAAAAATCAGATAAAAATTTTGATATAGTATTTGATTTCTAATTCCTCTCCCCTCCAGCCACAAAGTCTCTCTCTCTCTTTCTCTCTCTCTCTCTCTCTCTCTCTCTCTCTCTCTCACACACACACACACACACACACACACACACACACACATACACGTATACACACACAACCAAGATAGGAAAATCTTGACTCAGGGCCCATATCCAGCTTGCTTTTTATCTATAAAGTTTGTTCGGAGCACAAAAGAAAACTAATTTTATGTTAATATGTTTTCCATTCTTCTTCTTTCTGTCCTATTTATCTTTCAACTTCTCTTTTATGTGCAATTAGCTTTCTCCATGACTGCCATCCATACACACTTGCTTCAACACATCCATCCATGCGTGTATGCATTCTGTTCATTCCTTCATTTAAGAGAAAAGAGGGTTGTATAAATTTATCGAAGTTTCAACTAAGAAGAAATTAACAAGGATTAGAAAATATCATGCAAAATCACTAAAATCAAATATTTTCCCATTCACTTAATATCACACAATGAGGCTTCAGTATTTTATACAATAATATAAACTCAAGTCCAATAATGAAATTGTAAAATAAATAAGAAAGCTAGGCAAAAGTATATAGAAACTAATAAGTACTTAGATCATATCTTGATTAGTATATTGAAGAAGTTGGAAATACAGTATACTTAGTTTCATTTGTTAAACATCTTGCTCTCAAAAAAATGAACACATACATTATTTTGTCAGTGTTTTATTTTCAAGAAATTTTCATTAGTATAAATTAATAGCTACATGGGCTGAGAAGGTGGCTCAGTGGTAGAGCGCTTGCCTTGCATGCTCAAGGCCCTGGGTTCGATTCCTCAGCACCACATAAGCAAAAAGAAAAAAGCCAGAAGTGGCACTGTGGCTCAAGTGGTAGAGCCTTGAGCTGAAGAGCTGAGGGACAGCACCGAGGCCCAGGGTTCAGGCCCCATGACCGGACCCCCCCCCCCAAAAAAAAATAGCTACATAGTATTTTATTAGAAATATAAATCTGAGAAAAGGATCAAAGTCATTCTGAGCAGGAAAATCCATGAGACTCTTAGTTCCAATTAAATGTGAAAAAACTAGAAATGAAGCTGTGATTCAAACTGTAAAGCAGACTTGAATGAATACATTAAGCGATAGTGTAGGCACTGAGATAAACAATGTATACATAAATTTAAGTACATTCAGAAGAAACATGTACTAAGGATTGGAACAGACAAGAAACAAGTGCAATTGCGTCTACATGTGTTAAATATGTGATTCTGCAGAAATAATATAGGAGCCACTAAGCCAACCTATTTGAAATAATAAGTAATGCTTTCCTGACCAAATTAAGAATTTTGAAATATGACAGATAAACATGTTCATGTGTCAATAGCCTCTCATAAGTGACTCCATTACAAGAATTAATCTTATGTATATTGAGTGCAGAAATTTCCATGTACCAAATTAATGAAAAGTGGGTAAACAATAAATTGAAAGTTATTCTGTACCATAGGAGCAAACTATGATGAATTACTTACCTTTTAATACAGGCATTTAACCTTCAGACTAAAATCTTAAGATAAAATTACAGTCTTCTACATTGCAATCTTGAATTGAGAAGTTCTGTAGCATATACAAGTTATTCCTAAAGCCTTATGAGGAAAGCAGAATGAGAAGGAGATAGAGAAGGAGAACGAGAAAGAGGGAGAGAGGCAGAAAAATAGGCTCAGGTCCCACAAAAGAGACTCAAGATTATTGCAAAAGGCAAACGTGAATAGAAATATATAAGTATTGAACAAAGCAATCTGTAAGGATCATGTTAAAAGGTGAAGTTTTGTGAAGCAGAATATAATAGTAAAATGTATTAGAAGACTATGCAACATGGTAGTGTGTAGACACAAAGCTAGTATGCTTGAAAATTTAGAAAAGTGATTGAGAAAGACAACAGTGAAAAGAAACTGAGAAGAAGGGATAATAAGATGAAGTGCAAGCCAGGTTGGGTCATAGGGGAGCTCTATGTGGAGTCTTTTGAGGAAACTCCATACAACTTTCCAAAGTGGTTGAACAAGTTTACACTCCCATCAACAATGTGGTAAGGTTTCCTTCTGTCCACATCCCCTCCAGCATCTGTTGTTATTAGAGTTCTTGATTATAGCCATCCTAACTGGGGTGAGTTGGTATCTCAATGATATTTTGATTTACATTTCTTTTATGGTTAGGGAGGTTAAGCGTTTCCTCATGTGTGTATTGGCCCTCCTTCCCTGTTCAGAGAAGTTTCTCTTTAAGTCTTTATAGCCCACTTATTTATTGGGCAGTTGTTTGTTTGAGGATTTGTTGTTGGGGGTGGGCATTTCCCCAAATGATCACAAAGAAGACCACACTAAAGCTACCAGCACAACTATGTTTATTGCAGCATCATTTACCATAGCTAAGATATGGAACCAACCCAGATGCCCCTCGGTAGATGAATGGATCAAGAACATGTGGTATATATACACAATGGAATTCTATGCCTCCAACAAAAAGAATGACATTACCCCATTTGTTAGCAAATGGAAAGACTTGGAAAAAATTATATTAAGTGAAGTAAGCCAGGCCCAAAGAAATATAGGTCCCATGGTTTCCCTTATTTGCAATAACTAGTATATGTCTGAGACAAACAGAAACTGTCAGACAAGTTGATGTTAGGCGAAATGAACCCCAAGGTAAGGATTCAAAGATTTTTTTCTTTCTTGCAATTGTTTCCAACCTATTTATAAGATGATTTTTTTGTTGCTTTGTATGTACCTCCCTCAGGGTCCAAGCCCTTCATTCACTGTATTTGATATTGTTATTCTTTGTAGAGGGGAAGGAAAAAAACAAACCATTTAAATAGGGTTACAGGTAGACCCATTACAACAATGAGATGTACAAGTCGTTATGTCGAAAAATGAATTTTACCAGTTTGGCGGGTTGAGGGTATAGGGTGTGGAGAGGTGGTCGTTGGGAGTGTGGAAGTTGGGGAATAGAGAGGGGAAGGGATGGTATGGGGAAACAAAGGAGGAGGCAACAATGCTTGATAAGAAATGTACTCACTATCTTGCCCATGTCATTGTAACCCCTCTGTATGGTATTTTCACAATAATAAAAAAAATTGAAACAACAACAACAAAAAAACCGACAGGCACCCTTACCTCACTTCTGTAATCCTATCTACTCAGGAGGCTGAGATCTGTGGATCGTGGTTGAAAGGTGTGTTTGAAAACTAGCCCAAACAAGAATGCCCATGAGGCTCTTACCTCCAAAAAAGCACCACTAAACCGGAAGTGGTACTGTGGCTGAAGTAGTAGAGCAGTAGCTTTGAGCTGAAGAGCTCAGGGACAGCACCTAGGCCTAGAGTTCAAGCCCCATAACTGACCCAAAGAAAAAAAGAATTAAGTGCCGATTAAATAGGAGGCCCCAAATCTATACAAGAAAAATTCAAATTCAAATGGCTATCAACACCACTTGTGACTGCCACTACTAGAAAATGAGCAAAAGACACTTATTATGGAAGTAAAAATTCTACAATAAAAAGTGATAAAACGATGCAAAATTACTGTAGATATAGATCACATCTTCTGTATTCTAATCAACCCTAGGAGCTTGTTTTCTTTTATCCCTAAAAGCATGCAAAGAATTTCTATTGGGCATTAACAAGATGATATAGCACTTTGGGGCAAAGATGCAGCCTAGGAGCCCTGCACCAGAGGCCAAGATGGAGAAGACCTCCACAGCCACCATGACCTTCCCCTTGGCACTGTGGCAGACAGGCAGGAAGGTGAGCCACACACTGCAGAACACCAGCATGCTGAAGGTCAGGAACTTGGCTTCATTGAAGGTGTCAGGCAGGTTCCTGGCCAGGAAAGCCACAGTGAAGCTGGCCAGGGCCAGAGAGCCCAGGTATCCCAGGACACAGTAGAAGACGGTGAGGGAGCCCTTGTTGCACAGGATGATGATGTGGCCATGTTCAGAGTGTGCATCTGTGTCCACAAAGGGAGGAGAGGTTCCCAGCCAGACTCCACAGAGCACCACCTGGATGAGGGTGCAGATGGGGATGATGAGGTTAGGAGCCCCTGATACCAGCAGCCACCTCATCCTTCTCCCTGGAGAAGTGGCCTTGAAGGCCAGAACCACAGTCACTGTTTTGGCCAACACTGTGGAAACAGCCACAGTGAACACAATTCCAAATGTGATCTGCTGCAGGTTGCAGGTGACTGTGTTGGGATGGCCAAGAAAGAGCAAGGAACAGAGGAAACAGAAGATAAGGGAGATGAGCAAGATGTAGCTGAGAGTCCGGTTATTGGCCTTGACAATGGGGTTGTCATGGTGTTTGATAAACATTCCAAGAACAGCAGCAGTTAGCATAGAGAAACAGAGAGCCAGGCAAGCCAGAGCCATGCCCAAGGGATCTCCAAAAGCCAGGAAACTTGCAGTTCTCAGGAGGCACTGGTTTCTCTGTGTGTTGGCATACTGATGATTCGCACATTTCACACACTGGTCCATATCTGGTAAGAAGTGTAATCTACCATTAGCTCTTGTGAATGTCTGTTTCTTCAAAGGAATTAGGAAATGGTTCACTTATATGTATTTCTAATATGTCAGCATTTAGGATAATAAAAGTATTTTTTGTTGCTTTTCTAAACCATAACCCCATCTCATTTCCTGTTTATTTAAATTTTTTTCCTTTAGTGATTACCACAGTTGTTAACAATGTGCCAGTTGGGGTATTCTAATATCCTAACAACAACTCTCTACACCTTCTCACTTACTTTAACAGAATTGTGCCAAGTTCTATAATCCTATTGAAAGTGATAAATTATACAAGTTACTCTTCCTACATGTCCCCAGTACAATATCAATCTTTTCCCTATCTCACATCCTTGCATTCATCTCATTATATATGTCTCTCCTATTCCTCTGTGAAGCAGTAGGAATAGAGAAACCACTCTTGGACATTCTACAGTTATGCTCACTTGCTAATCAGAATGCACATTTCTGAGTACTTGCTCTGTTACATGAACAGTTCTGAGCACTGAGAACTAAAGATATGCCAGATACTTGTTTTCTATGTGGACAAATGATTAGTTTTAAGATCAACACTGTCATTAATATTTGTATTTAGCTTTATGTTAGAGTTTATATGGTTATTGGTAAGAGGTATTCCTGGAGATAACTTTGCCTAGAAAATATTTTGGCTAGAAAATATTTCTCAAATATGTAATTCAAAGCCATGACTTACCCTATTTGAATAGCAATACCAGTACTTTTCACAACTAAATTATTAACACAGATGAGGTAAATGGGGTCTGTAATCCTAATGTACAACTTCTGAATTGATTCATTTAGGTTGAGGAAAACTAGAGAGACGTGAAGAATTTCTTCATAATAGACTTACCTGTCCCATTTGCAATCTCATTTTCTGGGCAAGAGCTACAATCAAAGCAACAGGCAGCTTTTCCCTCTTGAGGAGATTTCCTAAATCCAGGACTACAACTCTCACTGCAGACAGAGCGAGGAGTCTGAAGAAAATCAGGTATATGTTAGTAAGTGTTCAGACTTACATACCTAGCCCTCCATTGTTTTAAAACAAGTTCATCATTTTCAAGACTTAGATTAAGTATAATGTTTCTGTGCAGCTAAGTGCAGTCAATTAATTGAGTTGTGTTATAGATTTTTATAGCCCATAAAACTCAAAGGCTTATGTGCTGGCACCTTGATTTCTAGCCTGTAGAAATATTGCAAAATAAGATGGAAACTAATCTTGAGGAAGTAAGTCTTAGTGTACAGCCCTGTGGAACTTGAATTCATGTCATTATTTTACCTTGTCTCGTACTTATCTCTCACATGGGGAAGAGAAAGGAGGAAGACCTCCATTGTATAGGATTATGTAAACCCAAGGCCCATCATAACTTCCTCTTCATTTTCCAGTGGCCATGAGATGAGAATCTTCTCACAGGTGCCTTCAATGATTCCTCTCACCAAAGCTGCTTAACAGGTCAACTGAGCATTTAGTGAATCATCCACAGAAGGGAACCAAATAAACCTTTTAAAGTGATACATAAAGTGATTCCTCAGGTACTTTGTCACAGTTTTAGAAACCCACTAGAAAGATAATATTCTAAATCAACACTTAGAAACACATTCAATTTTTTTGGTGCTGATCCTGTGGCTTGAATTCAAGGTCTGGGCACTGCCCTTGAGTGTGTTTTGCTCAAGGTTAGCCCTCTACTACTTGAGTCAAATCTCTACTTCTAGATTTGTGGTGGTTTATTGGAGATAAGGGTCATAAACTTTCCTGCTTGGGCTGACTTTAAACCATGATCTTGAACTCTCAGCTACCTGAGCAGCTAGGAATATAGGAGAAAGTTGCTGGCACTCAGGCAGGTATAAATTTAGAGGGAAACTATTGCTTATTTATATGTTGTTAAAATGACTATGATTAGATCCAACCCACCTCAGTAGTTCCTGTGGCCCACTCTACCATATCTTCAGAAACAGACAGTTGATTACCATGTAGAGAATATGGAGAAAACATTCCTACTTTAACCTGAAGTTCAAGACCTTCTGGAAAATTCCAAATGTTCAGAATGTCATACTGTGGCTCCAATTTCCTATTATCATCCAAAATCACTTGATCTCCAGAAGGATTGTAAAATTGGATGTTCTTTAGGAAAGGGTGAAGCTAAAACAGAAACAACACCTTAAAGTGAAATATATCCCAGAATTAAGAGTGAAAACCTGATCTAAGAAAAGCTCCCAATGGCCCTTAATCTCTCATTCCAAAGTCAAGATTAGCTCAGAAATCTAATGAAGTATCCTAGACAAAAACCTTTGGAGGAATAAAGATAATCTTCCTGAATCCCTGTCATTCGGAAAAGGACTACAAGGCCTTTATTCAAGAGAAACCAGTATCACATAAATAGCCGTGAATGAGACAGTTGTCATTTGTCTAGTGTGGGGGATAGCAAAGATGGCCCTGAGAGGAAATTGAGTGGGCAGAGCTGGATTTGTTTAGGTTCAGTGTGTAAACAACTCATGGAAGCTTAGGTGCATGTTAAGGTATGGCCTTTCAGTGATTGGTTGGTTCCATTTCCTCTCCTCCCACGCAGTCTTTTGCTTTAAAAAGGGGATGCTCCCTGCTAATAAACGAGTTTCTGCTTGACTTGACTCCCCCCTGCGTCTGATTGTCTCCTGGGCTAAGAGAGCCTGGGGAACGGGCTAGCAGCCGCACTTCGCACTTACCTCTCCTGGGACCCCGTCTGTCCAAAGACAGACGAAGACCCAACAGTCTAGCTGCAGCTTGTCACAACCACTATTTTTTTTATGAGCATCTATAGTTTAAACTTGCTAAATTTTTAATACCAAAGTTGAATGAAACTAGATCACTAAAGAAAAATATGGACAATTCTGCTCAGCAGGTAATCTTTTGCTGTTACTGAAGAAACATCTGGGAGAAAGCTATATTTACAGTTTTCAAAACATTAGCTATGAGAATGTTGAGGTTATATATAACTAAACAAATTCACCAACTGGGTACTGGTGGCTGAGTCTTGTAATCCTAGCTATTCAGGAGCTGAAATCTGAGGATTGCAGTTTGAAGCCAGCCCAGCAGAATCATCCTTGAGACTCTTATCTACAATTGACAACTCCAAAAAGCCAGAAGTAGTGCTGTGGTTCAAATGGTAGAGCACTAACCTTGAGCACAAAGACTCAAGGACAACACCTGGGAACTGACTTCACATCCCTGGACCAGCCAAAAAATAGAGAAATATGGATTGTATTTTATCTTTGTTGCTGGTCATATTTTCTTTTTTATTTATTTATTTTTTGGTTCTGGTCTTGGGCCCTGAACTCTGGGCCTGGGCCCTGTCCCTCAGCTCTTTAGCTCAAGGCTAGGGCTCTATCACTTGAGCCACAGCACCACTTCCATTTTTGCTTATGTGGTGCTGAGAAATCAAACCCAGGGCCTCATGCATGAAAGGCAAGCGCTCTACCACTGAGCCACCTTCCCAGCCCCATATATTCTTGAGAGGAGATAAACACATATCTACAGTACCTCACAGATACTTAAACAAAAATAATTTCCTGGGTTTGGCAAAACACCTGAAATAATTAATTTCATGAAGTAAGAAACCCTCTAGGATGTGCCTTTGTTCATGGTGTGAGTCATGAGCAGAGAAGACATTACCTGTGCAGGGGAAGGCACAGTCCCTTTTCCATTTCCCATTGTTTGAACTTCTGTTTGATGAAGAAGAATCTTATGGAGAGCCTCAGCCACAGCATATACTGCATTGTATATATTGTAACTGTCTCCAGATACAGTCATGTCAAAAACCTGCCCAGGCAACCAATCCAAAGATGCATCATGAGAACAGCTCTCCCACATTACACATTCAGACTCTGAATCTGAGCAATTAAAAAAGAGAAACCACAGCTTAGCAAGAAAAAAGTCTTCTGGGTATTTGGCAGGCTTAACTGCCTTGATAAAATCTGTGAATCCAGAAACATCTGCATGATGGTGTGAAAAAATGAGAGGTACGTGCAATGAGCCTAGCATGAAATACTTCTTTCTCATGGTTGAATCCCACTGTGAGTTCATGATACAGACTTTGCCTTTGATTAAAAGTTGCTCAATACATATAATTAAATCTAGTAGTGATTCATTATCACCATAAATGATGAGGACATTTGCTGAAGATTTATTTATCTGGTTATAAACTTTCATTAATTTGAATATATGTGACAGTCCTTTGCTTGAGATTAGTAGCTCATAGTCTACACAAACTCTGTTCTTGGCCATCTCTTCTTTCAATTCAGCAAGAACCCACAAACCATTCTCATCTTGTGAGGTCAACAGTCCAACCCAGCTCCAGCTGAAGTAAAGCAGTAAGGAGACCATGGCAGTGGCTATTGATGTGTCCTTTGGTGCCATCTGATAGAGAGCAGGAAACTTGTTATGGTCACTCAGGGCCTGATCAAAAGGCCCAAAGGTAAGCTAAAGGGAAAGAATATTGGACGTTCCATGAGTGAGAAGATGGCCATGCAGCACAGTCTCAGTCTTGAAGTATATTTAGAACCAGTTGAAGTAGGTGGAAGATAATGTTTTAGTTTTTGAAAAAATTTGAATTGATTTTGAAAAGTTGTACAACATACCAATTATAAAATGCCTCTTGATCTTTGTCAGTATTGCTATCAACTCCTCCCATCTATATCAACCCCACTCATTCCCTGATTTTCCTTATTCCATTTTCACACATGTACGAATTATGTTTTTTTTTTTGCCGGGCCTCCATTCTCTGTTCCTCTGCATTTCCACTTATCATCTACCCTTCTCACACAAGATAGGCCTCAGCTTTGTGGTGTTCATTTTTTTATACTGTCAGTAGATCTGTAAGGTTACACCAGAGTTTCACCCCTGTGTATTTCATACTTTGTTCTGATTGATTATGTATATATGTAAATGAATGACTATGTGTTACATATTTAGTTCAAATTACTCCTTCTCATTCTGTACCTGACTTACTTAATTCAACACAATATCTTGCGTTTGTGTGTGTTTGTGCACACGTGCATGCACATGCATGCCAGTACAGGTGCATAAGTGCAGGGCCTCATGCACTTATGTGCTTGGCTTTTTCCTTCAAGGCTAGTGTTCTGCCACTTGAGTCACACATTCACTTCCTCTATTTGCTGGAGATGTTTCCTGAGTAGCTAGGATTACAGTTGTGAGCCACTAGTACCCTGCTCAACATATCTGCACATTTCAAAGTAATTTTCCATTCCCTGATTTGTTGAAAGAAAATTATTGATAAGGTTTGAAACAATAAATAATCCATTTGCCTGTATAATCTTTCCATCTCCTTTTCCAAACAGTGGGAATATACATACCTCACAATTTTTGACTAGTTGTTGATACCATAGAATTTGATAGGTTCATAGCTCCAGTCTCTTCCTATCATTCTGATCCCTAAAATGACACTGAAATAGATATTTTTATATCTGTGTATCCCTCCTATCATCACCTGTGGAAATCTGTAGAGGTCTAGCAGTGTCCCAATCTGGGCTGATGTTATTCCTAATGGTCCTGTAAGTACTGCTACAGATGTGGTGTCTCTTATACAGGAGTAGTTTGGAATCTTGTACTTTCCAAAGAGCCAAATGAAGGGATTCTTGAATATTCTCCGAGCTCCAACGTAAACATCATAGATATCAAATCCCAGAGTCAAGTTATGTAAAAGATCAGGGTTTTTGTTGATCTCCTCAATAGCAAAAACTAAGGCCAAAATAAGCTGATAGTTCTTGAAGATAGACCTGCATATCAAGCATAGAAATTGAGGAGGAATGTTTAAAAACTTAAGACTTTGATGGATTGAATGCTTGCTTCTTTGCCAATGAGTATTAAAACATTATTCTGAATTGAGATGGATTGTGAATGTAGTTTTATGCTTAGATATAGGCTTAGGTACTTAGGTACGGACATGAGGGGAATATGTCATGAAGGAGAGTCAGAAACTTATTTAATCTGAGACATAGCTGGTTTGTCCCCCATTACCACATGCACCACAGCAAAAAGCTGTTGTCCATTAAATATGGATTAGGCTTTCAGAAGACATCAGGCACTCTCTTTCTTTATCTTAGTATATTTAGCTTCACCTGTGGAAAATAAATCTTTGAATCACCCAGGTTATGTTATGTGTTTGTTTATTTTGCCAGCACGTATGGATATGAATTTGCCTCTGAGTACTGCCTTTTTTGTGTCCCAAAGGAGTTGGCACTTGTGTCTTCATTTAAATTACATCCCAGAAATAAAGTTTCTTATCTCCTGAATGACCCACTGATTACTCAGCAATGAGTATTTTCCATGAATTTGAGTATTTTCTGTGATAGTTTGTGCTGTTGAACTCTACTATAATTGTGTTGTGATCTGACAGGATACAGGGCATATATTGTTGAAAATTTTTCTTGTTCATTAATGTTTTTGTCTTTTGGATTGAAAAATTTTACTTCAGCACATCTTGTAGGAAAGGTCTTGTAGATATCTATCTATCTATCTTCTATTAACTGTGCTTGTCTATGAATATCTCTATCCTTCTTTCACTTCTAAAGGCTATCTTTGCTAAGTACAACAGTCTTGTTGGATACGTTGCATATTTTTCAATCTTCAGTACTTCATACAATGCCCTCCTGGCATGGATCTACTGAGGAGTCAGCTGTTAGGGAAATAGGGGCACATTTATATGTTCTGGGTCCCATTTCTCTTCTAGTCTAGGGAACATTCTCAGTACATATATTTCACTTATGAGAGCTTGATCAAATTTGATTAACCTTTCATCTTTAGGTATCTTGCATTGTATCTCTGTGGACATTAGGAATTTTACATTCTCACTATTTATTAGAGCAAGCATTATACCTTTTCGGGCATTCTCAATCATTTACTGAACCTGAAATACACTAATTTTTGCTTCTTTTAAATACTGCGGTCAAATTTTGATAAGCCTCTTTTTCACACAATGTCACACTTGCTTCCAGTTTACTCATGTATAATTGTATGTTCAAAAAGCATTTCTTCAATGTCACTATTTTCTCCTGTTTGAAGACATCACTAACGTGATAGGCTTCCACTGTGATAATTTCACACACATCTGTTGAACAAGTTGATATTTTTATTTTCATTTCCACCTTGCCTCCATTGTTTCATTTTTTAAACAATGTGAGTTGATTTCATTATGCTAATTTTTTATAACATACACACACACCCTTGTATAGACAAATGTAACAAAAGGAAGGAAGGAAGGAGGAAAGGAAGGAAGGAGGAAAGAAAGAAAGAAAGAAAGAATGAATGAAAGAAAGGCAGGCAGGCAGTACTCAGAGGCAAATTCATATCAATGAGTACTTGCCTCAACAGATTAGAAAATTCTCAAATCAACACCTTAATGATGCACCTCAAGCTTCTAGAAAAAGAGGAACAAGACAAACCAAAACCCAGTAGTCTGAAGGAAATTGTTAAAAGTGTAGCAAAATTATATGAATTAGAGAGTAAAAAACTATACAGAGAATCTACAAAATCTACAAAATCAAAAGGTAGTTCTCTGAAAAAATAAAATTGAAGCTGAAATATTGGGAGTTTGGATCTGGGTGGTGCCATCTTAGCCTCCTGGTGGATGGTAGGTTCTGGCATCTTGTCTTCATGGTGGGGGAAAGTGAAGTCCCTTGCCTCCCAGGTGTTGGCACATAAATCCCTGGAGGCATGGACAAGCACTTGTCTGATAGGTTATTAGTCCTGTAAGTCCACGGCCAGGGACTGGGAGTTTCCTGTAACCTTGCTCCCTGACTGGCCCCGTTTAGGCTCACACTAGCTCATGTGCCACTACGCCCTGCCATTTGTCTCCATGTTCTTGTCCTATCTCTTGTCTCCTGTCTTCTGGCATCTTATTTGAACTCTCTTTTGGAACTGAATTTTTTTTTTTGGTCGGTCATGGAGCTTGAATTCTGGCTCTGGGCGCTGTCCTTCAGCTCTTCAGATCAAGGTGACTGCTCTACCGCTTGAGCCACAGCACCACTTTGGTTCTCTGGTGGTTTATTGGAGCTAAGAGTCTAATGGACTTTCCTGCCTGGGCTGGAATTGAACCACCATCCTCAGATCTCAGGCTTCTCAGTAGTGAGGATTATAAGGGTGAGCCAATGGTGCCTGGCATCTGAATTGGTTTTTTGGTAATGTTATTTTCTTTGTTTCCTTTCTGGCCTTCATGGCACAGTTTCCTAACAGTGTTAAGTGTATTTATTGGCTGCCACCACCATGTGGTTGCTGGACTTTCAATAAAGACTTTGATTCAGCCTTTCAACATGTGACTTCTGTTGTCTCACCTGACAACAGAGCCACCCAAATAAAAAATTAGATATGAAAAGGGAAACATCACCACAGACTCAAGGAAAATTCAAGAATATTCAAAGAGAGCACTTTATAAGCTTCTGTAGAAGAAATATATCTCAGAAATGATAGATTCGTAGGCAAAATAAATGTACCCAAACTGAATCAAGAAGACATGAATCAGCTAAACAGACTTACCACAAGCAATGAGATTGAATTGGCAGTAACACACATCCTTCCCAGGAAAAGCACAGAACCTGATGGTTTGTTTCATAGCTGAACTCTTTATGACCTTTAAAGGAGAATTATCACCAATACTCCTCAAATTCTTCAATGAAATAGAAAGAGATGGAACACTACCAAACTCATTCTATAAAGCCAGCATACACTTATCCCAAACCAGATAAGGACACGTTGAGAAAAGAGAACTTTGGAACTACCTCCTTGATGAACATTGATGTATAACTTCTCAACAAAATACTGGCAAATGGAACCCAACAATTGATCGAGAAATTCATACACTATGATCAAATGGAATTCATTACAGGGGATGCAAATTGGTTTAACATATGTAAGTCAATTAATTTATTACAGCACATCAACAGAAGTAAGGACAAGAACCACATGATCTCTCAATAGAGGCAGAAAAAGCCTTTGACAAGAGTCAATGCTCTTTTTTGATAAATGCTCTGGAGAAGCTAGGAATCCCTGGAACATTCCCCAGTATAATGAAGACTGTATATGAGAAACCTACAACCAGCATTATGCTTAATGGTGAAAAACTAAAGTCCTTTCCCCTAAAAGCAGGAACAAGACAAAGATATCCATCTTCCATTCTCTTCAGCATAGTATTGGAGTCCTAGCAAGAGCAATAGACAAAAGAAAAACACTTAGGGGATCTAATAGGAAAGTAACAACTAAAACTATCTCTTTTTACAGATGACATGGCCCTGTACTTAAAGGACCCCAACATATCCTAGAGTAGATCCATGAATTTAATTCAGTGATTAGTACATGATTAAATGAATTGCTTTTCAAGGCAAATTTCAAGGGATAAATTGGTCTTTGGCATAAATAAAAATAAAGAGAATGTCAGAATCCATAGACACAGAAAAAGAAGTAATAAAATGGAGCTTTTTGCTTAAATCTGGAGTCCAGATAATGTACTTAAGAACCTACACTGTATCTGAAGAAACCAGGAAAACAAACCCCAAATTACTAGGAAGAATGAAATAACCAAGTGGTAGAAAAAGGATTAGCTACTCAATAAAATGATGATAAGGTTCTACAAAAACAACAGGGTGATAAGAATGAAGTTAAATCATGAAGAAGCAAAGGAGAAAGCAACAACATTGCTCATCTCAACATATACCCTTTATTATTTTGGATGTCAGAATTAGTATGGTGAAAGTAGCCATATTACTGAAAAGCTATCTACAAATTCTGTGCAGTCTCCATCAAAATTCCTATCACTTCCTTCACAGAAATAGAAAAGGCAAGACTAAATTTTATGAAAAATGAAATCCTCCCTTAGTCAAAGCTATCCTAAGACACAAGAACAGTACTCAAGTATCCCTGTATCTGCTTTTTTCTTGTGTCCAGCCATAACAGCAGATTAAATACTGACAAAAACAGACACAGCGATCAAAGAAATATAAGACCAAGAATTACTTGCAAACAACCAGAGATATGTGATTCTTGGAGAGGTTGCCAAATAATACATGGCCTAAAGATGGTACCCTTACTAAGGGGTGGCACTGTGAAACTGGATATCCATGTGTCAAACACTAAGACTAGATATTATCTTTCAACCTGTTATTTTATAAACTCAAAATTGACCAGACCTTAATAGAGATTGGAACTTGATGAGCAATAGAGAAAATGAGGAGAAACATTCATACACAGGTAACTGAAATAGAACTCAAATAGTTCATAAAATAACATCAAGAATTGAGCTCTAGATGTTACTAAGCAGTAGAATCCTTTCACATTTCCAGTGCTGGGGAGGGGGGTGGAATGTACGGCCTTCTGAATGGGCCCTATATTCTATCCCCCTCACCAGCACTAGAAATGTAAAGTATCAGTGCTTGTATCCAATTTAAAAGCTTCAGCACAAAGAAAGAAATGGTGGGACAGACAAATAGTTAAAAAGACTGCTAGCTATACATCTCACAGAATTAATCACATAATGTAAAACAACCCTAAATCTTAAATAGCAGTAGGAAAATATCCAATGAAGGAACAGACACTTTAAAATTAAAAAGTACAGATAGAATATTAATACAGAAAAAGTTCAACTATTTGAGCACTCAGGGAAATACAAATCAAGGCTACAGTGAAGTTACCTATCAACTCAGACAAAAATTGCAATTTTGGTGATGGTTTATAAAAATTAGGGATTGGAGAATCCTAAGAAATTAAAGCTACTTGTACTGGTGACTCATACCTGTAACCCTAGCTGAACCTGAGGTTGTGAGCCTAAGATCTAGAAACAAAGCCAGCTGGGGCAGAAAAGTCCATGACACACTTTATCACCAGTTAACCAAGAAAAACCTAGCAGTGGAGGTGTAATTCAAATGGTAGAATATCAGTCTTGAGAGGAAAGGCCAAATAAAGTAAGTGAAATCACCAGTGCCTTGTGTCTGTGACCCTAGCTACCTCAGAAAGATGAGAATGAGAAGAAGAAAAGTAGAGATTTGGAGAGAAAATAGGATGTGGGACAACATACAAAACATGATCATAAATAGAGTGGTTGACTATAATCAAAATATGTGACATTCAGTGTGGAACTACAATGTGAACCATAGTTGGCACAAGGACCATATTGTATAAAAACTGCATGTAGAGTTGAGTAAAATCTGTCACCCAGTGATGTCCAGTTGGAGGAAAGGTGGTGAATAAAATTGCTATCTGTAGTCAGTTCCAAGGATAACATTTTACTAACCCAGACCAGACTTTAAAACGTTGTATCTGTGGGTAGACAAGAAACATCCATCAGCTGAAACCATAATACTCAGTGTGTCTGTATTGGCATACTAACTAAAGTACTCAAATATATTTTGGGAAATGAAGAGAATGAAAATCAGCTAAACATGGATAGTCTAGAATAAAAAGAATAAGCTTAGCCAGACAGTGGTGTCTAATGCCTATAGTTTTATCTCCACAGGATGCTGAGATGTGAGGATCATGTTTTGAAGCCAGATTGGGCAGGGATGTCTGTGAGACTCTTATTTCCATTTAACCACCAAACCATGCAGAGAGGGGAGCTATGGCTGAATTGTTTGAGCACTAGCCTTGAGCAAAAATATTCAGGGACAGTGCGCAGGCCGAGTTCCCAGGACCAGCACAAAAGAAAGATCAACAACATAGCAGTGACATATAAGATTAGGACATTTATCTTCTGCTCTCAACTGTGGGCATCTACCTCAGGCTAACTTGTCACACCAGCACTTGGAAAGGAGTGCAAGTGATAGACAAAAAGACATTTTCTCTTGTGATAGGCATGAGATAGTTCACTAGAATTTCTTGAAGTTCTGTATAGTCATTTTTCTGTCTTCTTTTTTTTTTTTTTTTTGTATAGCTATTAATAAAACTCACTGTTAACAGACCAAAAGCTAAGAATATGCTTATGTGCAAATAAAGCAGAACTCACCTTGGGCAGATAAAATTCTGCAATAAGGGATCTTTGTGAATGCTGACCTGCCTGGTAAAGCCTGGGTTATGAAGCATCTGGTATGTAATAAAGACACAAGACTTAGTTTGAAACAGTAACTGCTTGTCTATAGTAAGTATGTGTGTATGTATGTATGTGTGTCTGTCTGTCTGTGTGTGTATATGTGTCTCTGTGTGTCTGCATGTGTGCCTGTCCTAGGGCTTGAAATCAGTCATTGGACACTGTCCTTGAGGTTTTTTGTTTATTAAGTTTTTTATTGTGAAACTACTGTACAGAGAGGTTCCAATCACATGAGCAAGGTAATGAGTACATTTCTTATCAAGCATTGTTGCCTTCTCCTTTGTTTTCCCCCTACCATCCCTTCCCTATTGCTCAAGGCCAGCACTCTATCACTTGAGCACAGCTCCACTCCCAGCTTTTGACTGGGTAATTGAAGATAAAATTCTCAGATTTTCCTGCGTGAGCTGGCTTCAAACTTTGATCCTCCACTATCATCCTCATGAGTAGTTAGGATTGTACAGGCATGAGCTACCAGCCTACAATAAGAAATTTTATCAGTGTCCTCAAAGTACACCTGTTACTAAGGAAAAATTTTCACAGGTTGATTGTAATAACATCACTTCATCTTCTGCAATGACTGCTGTGATATAGCAGATGCAGGCATGCTGGAATAAAGTGAAGTTACCTACCTGGAAAGAAGAAGCTACTTGGAAGGAAATAGAATCCTCTCCTACTACCAGGCAGAAAATCACTCAACAATAGATGTAAGACAAAATAATGAAACTGAGCTGCCTCTGGTGTTGTAGGGATGGAGGTCAGTGTAGAGGGACAGAGAACAATGATGTGTGCACCCAGAGTTTCCTCAGCCATTGACCATCCTCAGAAAAAAACAGTAAAGGGGAATAAAGTGATGAGTTACTTACGGTTTGTTCTCTTCTTGGCTGGAAGCATGGCTGTTACTATCATCCATTCCCAAAGTGTAGAGAGGGAAAAACCCAGCGATCATCACATCTCCACCCATGTGTGCTCGGTGCTTCATTGTTGAAAAGCAGCTAGTGCCAGCCAAGGACCTGACAAGGAGGGGAAGCTGGAGAAGGATTGTTAAAGTCAAAAGGTACATCCTTGAAGCATCTGCCATGTTGAAATTCTGGCTAGAAATGAGGACATGTCAGGAATGTATATTAGTATATCTTTGTATATGAGCATATGTGTCTTTTTATTGATAGAGATCTACACTATAGCTCACCTTTCATGAAAGCCTCTTGTGAGTCCCCAGAAGTTATGTGTAAAGTATTCCCTGGAGCTGTTCATCAATGGCCTTCATCCAGGAGAAAAACATGAGTTGGAAAACATGTTTGTAGATTTGAGTTCTTTACCCCAGGAATTATGATTTCATCCAAGACTGCAGATAGTGAGGCTCCAGAGATGGCATTATCTTGGATAATTTTTTCACCTTACATCCGTGTCAAGAAACTATTTTCATGAAAGCCATCTGGGATGATGCAGCCAGATTGCTTCAGAGGATGCCATGTCCTGTGCATGGTGAAATGTCCACACAAAGTCTGTGCCTCTGACATGTCAACTAAAGTTATGAGTACAACATACTCAGAGGATCAGTTCACACACACATACAATGTCCTGTAACAGAACATTGGTGGTTGATACCGGCTGGTTTCAGTAAAAATTCCTTGTGCAGAGGACTCCAGAACTACAGCCACTTACTGTTGCCTGAGGAAACAATGTTGTTGCTGAAGCTAGCAATTACATGTCAGTAACTCATTGTCAATGCTGTACTTGAGTTCTACTTTTGCATTTTGAACTTTTACTTTCAAACAGGCAATTATTAAGTTGCTAACATAGATGAAGACGTTTTCATGATGCACTGCATTGAAAACATGTTGTAGTAGAGGAAATGCTTCTGTATCACAAACCTAAATCAATATCAAAAGCAACTCTATGTTTTCAGGTTGTCAACATATGCTAGGCCCAAATTCCATGCAGAGACTTCAGTGGCCATGGAGAACAGAGCTACTTCAGGGCAATGAACATACTCTACACAAGGCTGTAGTGTTGGATGCATATTATGGTATACTTGTTCACAATCATGCACTGAGTATCAGAAAATATACATCACATATGCATTTTAAGAATGCATGAGGAATAGGAAAATTTTTCTAATGAGATTGCCAGTGGTCTGTTACATGTTTATATTCATTGCACTATAATGGATCTTATCACTTATTTTGAAAATTCTTAGGAGCATGTGTTATCTGAACAGAGGATTTATTTAGACATATAATGGGCCTCAGTCTCACAAGGTGTTGGTACTGGTTTGAATCATAAATCTATAGTTACTTTTTTGCTTTGTATATGTTTTTATTATAAAAATACTGTACAGAGGGGTTACAGTTACATGAGTAGGGTAAGGAGTACATTTTGTATGGAGCATATCTTTTCATCCTTAGAGCAAGTTTGGTAAGAGAAAGTAAATTAAACCCCTCTGTACAGTATTTTTACAATAAAACAAACACACATATAAAAAGAAAGTAAATTATATATTCAATGTAGTGACTGAGATAGACCAAAGGCCATGACAAATGTAGGAAATGGAAATGAATGAGAAAGTTCAAGTTTGAAATAAGGAAGAAATTATTTCAACCATTGGGTCCTGGTGTTAGGTGAGAGCTCTGTGTCCTTCAGAAAGTTCTGGGTAAATCAAAGCAAAGAGAAATTGTTTTATAACTCTACAGTAACTGATCTTAAATTTTCATTTTTATATTGTCTTAGATTTTATTAGTATATATTGTAAAAATGGGATTCCTTATGATATTTTATACGTTTGTGATTTCTTATAAAATTCACCTCATCCCTCTTGCTTGTTCCACCACAACTTTTCAAATCAACTTTCATGACCTCCATTATTGTTTTTATTCATAGATGAGAAGTTTTTAGTGTTAGAAATCACAGAAACCTTTTGATAAAAATCAGTAAAAAGTTTTGCTACATTTTCCCTTTTCCCTTCCTTCCCTTGTCTATATCCTTCATCCATTTCCCCATGAACTTCTGTCACTACCACTAATCTTTTTCTGCCTCCTATCTGTCCATCCTTCAATACATCCATTCATCCATGCCTACCTTCTCTTCATCCAGAATGTACATATTGTGTAAGTTCACTTAAAACTGCCAAGATGAAAGTAGAAAGAATATTATTACATTATATAGAAGCTGGTCGCCTGTGACTCATGCCTGTAATCCTAGCTAGTCATGTGGCTGAGATCATGGTCCAAAGTCAGTCTGTGCAGGAAAAGTCTATGATACACTCATATCCAATTAACCACTAAAATGTGGACTGTGGCTCAAATGGGCGAGCACTAGCTTGAGGGTAAAGGATCAGGGACAGTACTCAGGCCCAGTGTTCAAGCTGCTGGACTGACCAAGAAAATTATACAAGGTCCTAAAACCAAATACTCTTCCAGTAGCATCATAAAATACATCACAAAATGAGGATTCAATGTTTTACTCAGTAATACATATTCAACTGCATGAACAAAATATCTGAAATCAAGAAGGAATGTGAAAAATAAGTTCATTAGAAACAATTATGTTTTAAATGTTTTTATTGTGAAAATACTTTACAGAGGGGTTACAGTTACATGAGCAAGGTAATGAGTACATTTCCTATTGAACATTGTTACCTTCTCCTTTGTTTTCCCTACCATCCCTTCCCTCCCCAGCTCCTAATTCCTCCCTCCCCCCCTGCCCAAGTTGTAAAGTTTATTTTCAACGTAGTGTCTTGTACATCTCATTGTTATAATGGGTCAACCTGTATCCTTATTTCAGCATTTTGTTATTTCCCTTCCCCTCCCCAAAGTAGAAAAATTTATAGACAAGATGAAGGGCACTAACATCAAATACAGTGAAAACAGGGTTTATACCACGGGGCAAGTATATACAAAAGAAACAAAAAAAAAATCACACAGTACATTATAAATACATTAAAAACAACAGCAGGAAAAATAAAACCACGTTGTGTCCCTATCTTGGTTCATTTTGCTTAGCATCATCTTATATGGTCATATGTACATAGCTTTTGACCTTTTCTGCTTGTCCTAGACATATACTAGTTATTGCAAATAAGGGAAACCGTGGGACCTATTTATCTTTGGGCCTGACTTACTTCACTTAGTATAATTTTTTTCCATGTCTTTCCATTTCCTAACAAATGGGGTGGTGTAATTCTTTCTGATGGAGGCATAGAATTTATAGAGTTCATATATATCACATTTTCTTTGTTTTTTTGTTTTTTTGGGTCCGGTCATGGGGCCTGAACTCTGGGCCTGAGCGCTGTCCCTCAGCTCTTCAGCTCAAGGCTAGCGCTCTACCACTTGAGCCACAGCGCCACTTCTGGCTTTTTTCTTTTTGCTTATGTGGTGCTGAAGAATTGAACCCAGCGCCTCTGGCATGCAAGGCATGCGCTCTACCACTGAGCCACCTTCCCAGCCCCGTTTGTTTGTTTTTTTTTGTATATCACATTTTCTTGAACCATTCATCTGCTGAGGGGCTTCTGGGTTGGTTCCATATCTTAGCTATGGCAAATAATGCTTCAGTAAACATAGTTGTGCTGGTGGCTTTAGTATGGTCTTGTTTGGGATCATTCAGGTAAATGCCCAAAAGTAGGATTGCTGGGTCATAGGGGAGCTCTATGTGGACTCTTGAGGAACCTCCATACTGCTTTCCAAAGTGGTTGAACAAGTTTACACTCCCACCAACAATGCAGTAAGGTTCCCTTCTGTCCACATCCCTTCCAGCATCTGTTGTTATTAGAGTTCTTGATTTTAGCCATTCTAACTGGAGTGAGATGGTATCTCAATGTTGTTTTGATTTGCATTTCTTTTATGGCTAGGGAGGTTGAGCATTTCTTCATGTGTCTATTGGCCATCCTTTCCTCTTCAGAGAAGTTTCTCTAAGTCTTTAGCTCACTTATTTATTGGGCAGTTGCTTCTTTGAGGATTTGTTGTTGGGGGATTTATATTTTTGAGTTCCAAGTATATTTTAGATATGAGACCCTTGTCCGTTGCATGACTAGTGAAGATCTTCTCCCAATGCGTAGGGTTTCTATTGATCTTGCTAGCTATGTCCTTTGCCATGGAGAAGCGCTGCAATTTCACGCAATCCCATTTGTCCAACCTTTCTTTGATTTGTTGTGTTTCTGGGTCTCTATTAAGAAAATATCGGCCTGCTCCAAGGCCACCTAGGGTTTCTCCTATTCCATCCTGTAATGTTTTCAGAGTGTGTGCTTTGACTCCGAGGTCTTTAATCCGAAATTTTTTAAATAGAGACCCAGAAACACAAGAAATCAAAGAAAGGTTGGACGAATGGGATTGCATGAAGTTGCAGAGCTGCTGCATGGCAAAGGACATAGCTAGCAACATCAATAGAAAGCCCACGGATTGGGAGAAGATCTTCACTAGCCATACAAGGGACGTGGGTCTCATATCTAAAATATACCTTTAACTCAAAATATTAAATCCCCCAACAACAAATCCTCAAAGAAACTACTGCCCAATAAATAAGTGGGCTAAAGACTTAAAGAGAAACTTCTCCGAAGAAGAAAGAAGGATGGTCAATAGCCACATGAAGAAATGCTCACCTCCCTAGCCATAAAAGAAATGCAAATCAAAACAACATTGAGATACCACTTCACCCCAGTTAGAATGGCAAAAATCAAGAACTCTAATAACAACGTGTATAGTTAATTCTGTCAACACCAGTTGTTGAAGATCTTGTCTTTCTTCCATCCTGTGTTATTTGCTCCCTTATCACAGTTTAGGTGGGCATAGTTCTTTGTATTCATTTCTTGGTCCTTTATTCTATTCATTGGTCCTCAGGGTTGTTTATGTGCAGGAACCAATGTTTTTTTTTTTTTTTTTTTTTATAAATATGGCTTCCTAATAGAGTTTGAAGTTCAGTATTGATACTCTTCCAGCATTGTTTTTCCTGATAAGGATTGTGTTTGCTATTTGGGGTCTTTTGTTATTCCACGTGGATTTTGGGATTGTGTTCTCTATTTCATTGAGGAATGTTGTTGGGATTTTGATTGATATTGCATTGAATTTGTAGAGAGCTTTGGGCAGTATTGAAATTTCATGGTATTAATCTTCCCAATCCAGGAGCATGGAAATTTTTCTACTTTTTGTTTCCTGGTCGTGGGGCCCGAAGTCTGGTTTTGGGTGTTGTTGCTGAGCTCTTCAGCTCAAGGCTAGCATTCTACCACTTGAGCCACAGCAACACTTCTTGCTTTTTCTGCTTATGTGGTGCTGAGAAATCGAACCCAGGGCCTCATGCATGCAAGCAAGCACTCTACCACTGAGCCACCGTCCTAGCCCGGTTTTTCCACTTTTTAAAATCTTAGATTTCTTTTTTTCCCCAGTTTGTAGAGTTTTCTCCATAGAAATACTTCACATCCTTGGTTAAGTTAATTGCTAGTTTATATTTGAGGCGACTGCCTAAGGAGTTGCTTTCCTATTTAAACATTGCTCTTCTCATTGTCGGCATACAGAAAAGCTACTGAAGGTTG